CAAATGCATGTTGAACTGACAGCACGTGCAGAGATTGAGCATCACTTTTACTGTGAATTTAGCCATTCTCTAAAACTCAGAAAGTACTGCTTCACAATCTGCTTTCATGCCGCACTTCACTTTGAAAAAACAGCAGCTGCAGACTATAACCTTAATTAAATTGTTGCCTCTTACGATTTCCTAAGTGCACAGAGCCATATCGCAATTTGGATTTTAGCTTGAATGACGCTTTACCAAAAGCAATGGCACAAAACGCAACAACTTTATCATGGGAGGTGTACAAATATTTTCAGTTCATTATGAAACTGTGGCGAGACAGATTAGAGTTACTGGGAAACACTACTCGCCAAATTCTACATTTAATTAATAAAAAATTCCAATTTTAAATCAATGTTATCGCAATTTAAATTAACTTTTAGATTAGGATAAGTCTATTGTATTGTAATTTGTTACATTGTTTTTCTTACCGTTGTAAGGCCATTGTATTTTTTTTTTTTTTTTAAATCTATTATGTTTGTTTATTGTATTTATTATATTTTTGTGTTTTATGTGGAACTTTTATTGCGGTCTTCTTGGCCAGGGCTCCTTCGTAAAAGAGACTTGTTCTCAAAGGACTTCCCTGGTTAAATAAGGGTTAAATAAAGAAATAAAAAGCTACTTTCTATTTTAATATATTTTAATTATTCCTGTGATGCAAAGCTGAATATTCAGCATCATTACTCGAGTCTTCAGTGTCACATGATCCTTCAGAAATCATTCTAATATGATGATTTGATGGTCAAGAAACATTTCTGATTATTATTATTATTAATGAAAACAGTTGTACTACAGTTTTTTTCAGAATTCTTTGATGAATAGAAAGAAGAAAAAAAAGTGCAAAATACCGACCCCACAGTTTTGAATAGTAGTGTACCCCCATGATGGAAGTAAAATGTTTCATGTTGACTTCAAGGATGTTCCTGGTGGCATGAAGCTCTGTGTACAGGTGTACTATTATGATTCGTATAGTGTAAATGTGTTTTGAGAGTGATCGGCATCTTCAGGATGGCTGGGATTTACTGATCGTACGCTTTGATTGCAATATAAGATCAAATACAAACTACATTGTTTATGTACACTGGTATGGCATATTTTAGAGGGTTTTTGTCCTCTAATGTGTCCTAGAACTGGTCCCACGACTTCTGGCTGCTTGTTAAACATGGATGTGGTGGAGAGGTGCCATTCTTATTGTGGATTCATGATTGGCCCTGAATGTGGCAGAACCAGTTCACAGTGGGCGTGTGAGGTGGTGTCCATTTCAACTCTGCGTTTCTCAAGGTTTTGTGTTGTTTGGTGCTTGTTTACAGAAACTCTCTCACACCAGCCCAGGAGCGGTCTCCCTTTTCTGTCCTTTCACAGGTGTGGACATTCAAACTCAAACTCTCAGCTTGACAAAGTATGACTGTGTAAAAGAGTCATTTATATTGTGTGTGTGTGTAGCACGTATGTGGATCGTTGTTTTCCAGCCTCAGATTACACCTAACTTGGTCTGTCTGTAGGGCCCTATGAAATATTAGATTAGAAATATCATTAGATTTTTTTTTCCATAAACTTTCTCTTTATTTGGTTTTATGGTTAAATTAAATTTTAGTAAAAAAAAAAAAAAAAAAAGCATATCTAATGAATTGAAATCTTGAAACCTAATGTACAACTTTATTGAAAGTATAATAAAAAAACGACATATTTAGGGCCATAATCCATTTTTAATTTCCTTTTTTTTAAGATTTTGTTTTAATAAGAAATGTTGCGTTTTCTATTTTAATTATTTAATTTTATTTTATTAATCAAAAACATCAAACATAAAAAAATTCATGAAAAATACCACTTACAACAATTTTATTAAAAGAGTAAAAAATTTTATCTGTTTAAATTATTCTGAAATCCGTTTTAATAACATATTAATCAAAAGCAGTTTTTATCAGTTGAATTCATTAGACTTTAACAATTGAATAATTTATACATTTTTACAATAATAGGGCCCTATGAAATGTTTTGTGCTGTCTTTTTTTGTACTTTTTATGGTGTAATTATTGTAATACGAGTTTATTATCAAAAACGGTGGTAATCAATTCAAGGCACGGGACACTAATAATCTAATTAATCTTTTAAAATGTAATCAAATGAAAATTTAATTCCAATTCCTTTCATTTGTTTGCCAACAAAGTGCTGTTGAAATTAAAAGATTGAAGAAAAATTGTGTGATCTTTTAAAATTAAATAGTTTATGATCATTATTATTAGTATTACTTCTACTGCACAATAGTAATATATTTCTGCCACATCACTGAAATCATAGGGCCGTGTGTTTGTGTGAGAAAAAGAGCCAGACAGGGTGGATCTCTCCTATTGTACGGCACATCAAACGCTCTGCGGACATCGCACACCTGCCTCTTATTGGCTCCACAGACCTCAGCCCTGAACTGCTTAGCTTTTGAAGCCATCCCGGTGTGTGTGGCTTTCTGAGACTGGGCTCTGTGTGCCGGTGTGTGTGTGCTCAGCTGTGGTGCACCCTGGGGAAAGTGATGTCACTGTTGCCCAGAGAGCCGATTATTGGAGAGGCAGCGAGTGGAAGCAAACGACCAATTAGCAGAATTGGGACCAGGAGTGTCTTCACCATCACATCTACTGCTTCAACTCCTGAGTGTGTAGTGTCCTGGGCCTGGCGACATGCGTGTTCGCGTGTGTGTGCGGCTTGTTGAACTCTTGCTCTGCTCACTCGATCAGATGATTTGGGCTGTAGGGCATTTCCTCATCACTAGACTTGACGTGTTTTCTTCTGTTAGATTTATCTTTCTCTTATGTCTTCCCAGGTTGTTCTTATGTTGGTAATGAGTGTTTATGTACACTGCCATTCAAACGCTTAGAGTCAGTACGATTTGTGCCCTATTTCAAATGAATACTATTCTTTGAACTTTCAATTTTTTCAAAGAATCCATTACAAACATGCATTGCGGTGTCCAACATTGATGATACCCGAGTATGAAATCAGCGTATTAATATGATTTCTGAAGGATCATGTGACACCGAAGACTGGTGTAATGATGCCATTTGATTTGCCATCACAGGAATAGAATGCATTTTAAATTATATTAAAACTGAAAATAGTTATTTTAAACAGTAATATTTCACAATATTACTGTATTTTTGATTTAGCCTTGATGTGCATAAGATCTCACTTATATCTTGCTGACCCCATACAATAAAATACTGATAGCTATTTAGTTCATCATAAACTCACTTCATTATAAAAACACAAAAGTCATGTTTAGACTGATTATGCTATTTAAAAGCCCCCGGGTCATGTAAATGCCTTAAACGCTGCTAAAGTTGCATGCAAAGGTATACCATGGTAGCAGCTGAAAATTTACATCTGTTGATCAGGCTTGCCATCATGACACAATCTATTTTTTTTGGGCTTATTAAGCATAAAGATTGCACATGTAAATTCTCGGTTCTGTTGTTTTATTTTTTCATGACTCTGTTGTCACTCAGATCTACTGTATCTAATCACATTAATAGGGCTGATTGCTACATACACTCCCGGTTGACCTACTTTATTTGCCAAAGTGTGGAGCATGTGACCAGGGCACACCGTCCTGTGTACTCTATCCCACAATTTCACATTTCATTCACAATAAATGGGATCAGGACAAAATTTGAACTTGTTTTTTTTTAAAGATAAAAACCAGTAAAACTTTTATCATACTTTTTTGTTTGTTTGTTTAAGTACAATTAAAGAATCTCTCGTATGTATATATTTTTGTGTATTGTATTGTTTGTCATTTTTAACGTGGAATCTGGCGTGAAATAGTCTGTGAAGCTGATACAATAAATGACAGATAATGAAGCAAAACAATTATCAACTATAATCATGTTTTGATAATATTTTGTTGTTTGTCCCTAGAAAAGTTACAGTTGATTCCATAATGAAAACTAGATGCCATTCGCAGATGTAGAACACTTACTAGTACAACCTCTAAGTGCTTTATTATAATTATAAAAATGTATTTTGTTATTTTATTAAGCAAATTTAAATGTCATTCTTCCACTTTAAGATATGGTCTTTGACATGTAAACTTGAGGTGGTGCGCAGTGATGGAAACAAGTAGCTCGGCAAACATTCCTTTGTGAAATAACTAACTTTATACCATGGTCTGGGTGAATACTCGATTCTGATTGGCTGCAGGGTGTCCACCTAGTAAAGGAGTTCTGGTGAAGCTGACTGTTTACCGTTCGAAATTAATAAATAAATGCGCTGGCTACATCAGCTGTGAGTAACCATAGCAACAGGCAGTCAAAGTATCCGTTTACAATTTATTGTATCAAAACAAACATCTAGTTAGCTGTTACAAAAATAACTATGCCTACCTGTGTGTTTTAATTATAGGTTAAAAAAACGAAACTGTAACGCCCATGGGTAGACAAGCCTAACTTACATAAAAAAACAAAAAACAAAACGTTAACTTTCTGGCTCGTAAGTTAGCTAAACTGAAGGGTTCTACGAGCTGAGCGGACTATAAATATCTCCGGTTGCTGAATAAACCGTCAGGCGTAACCAGGGAAACCAAGTTATTGTTTGTAAAAACTTGTTAAACTAATTCAAATATAAACTAATCTTTTAAAAATGTGTTATTTGGCAAGTGACCATGGTATAAGCGGGTTAATGCCCTTCGAGGTGTCCATTGTCTAGGTATTAATGGACTTCCGCTGCGCGTCGGACAGTTCACGCCTCGCCGTCGTCCATTAATACCTGACAATGGACACCTTGTCGGGCATTAACCCTTACAAATTGAGTATTTTAGCACATGTGAGCGCTATACTGACCAATCAGCACTTCTATGATAGAGTTTAACATGTTTAATGTTGTATATTGTACCACATAGGCTACTGTTTTAATAAATTTAAGTATATACTGTGTTGAATGCACTCTGAACACGTCCTGTTTCTCTCTCTTGCCTGCAGAGAACGTTCCAGTGGAGCTGCGAGAGCCGTTCTACTGTGATCAGTATGAGCAAGAACACCTGAAGCCTCCCGTCACGCGCCTGCTGCTGTCACCTGAACTCTTCTGCCGCGCTTACGGCCTGCTCCTGGGGGGAAGCCCGGGGGCCGAGGGGCCCCCCAAAGACATTCCAGCGCTCCTACAGGTCCTGGGCAGGAAGGGCTTGGCACCCAAAGACCAGAATGCCCCAGTGACAGAGGCCGAGCTCCAACAGAAGCCCATCAAAATGGTAAGACGTATGAGCGGAGTCAGCACATTCCTGTCTGAGTTATGTGCAGAGCTGAGTTTCATTAAACAGCCATTTGGAGTTGATACAGTAGCTTTTGTATCTCAAAACCCAGAACTGACTTGCCGTCTGCTGTCGAATCGAATTTCAGCCTCAAGTGCTCTCATGTGCTCCACGTTAATATCCTTCCGCTTATGAACCGCAAGGGAGACTCACCTATCAATCACGATTGATTCTGATGGTAGCTAAGGTAAAGAGTTGATAGTCCAGTCACATTTATGCAGTGTTTTACACAATACTGATTGTTTCAAAGCAGCTTCACATTAATTAACAGGAAAATAACAGTGTTAATGTTATAAAATTCATCAATTATGAAAAGCAGCAGCTGAACAGAAGATAAGTATCATTATCCAGCTCAATTTAGTTCAATGTTGATTCAGTTCAGTTCAATAACTGTCAATGTTACATCAATTATGATTTAGTTTAATAAGTGTCGATGTTGCAAAGTTAGTGTCCTTATCCAGCTCCATTTAATTCCAATTTTGTTCTCTTCCGATAGTGTCAGCGCAGTTAGATAAGTAATATTAATGAATATTCATTTTCTTTTAAATGCTGATGCTCTAAACACTATTCGCAGTATACTTAAATAAATAGTTAAAATCCATTTCATTACGTAAGGGCCTATACAACCTGGTCACTGCATGTGTTTGTACTAGTTGGAAAGCTATCCGATTTGTTAAAACTGTTCCATTTACACTTGACCACATGAATGTATCTCTGCAAAATTAATATAAATCTGATCTTCAATTTGTAGCTATACACGTCAACAAAAGCAACAGATATGTGCTGCATTTCATTTATCATCTGCTAATTTCAAGATTAAAGACCGCAAAAGGAGAGAGAGTGGCATTAGCACTGGGAAGGTAATTTAGTAATTAGACATTTAGAAATCGCATGTGTGTATTAGATCAGTGTATTAAAGTGAAAGCAGAGTAATGTACAGTGCCTACTGCTATACACTCACCTAAAGGATTATTAGGAACACCTGTTCAATTTCTCATTAATGCAATTATCTAATCAACCAATCACATGGCAGTTGCTTCAATGCATTTAGGGGTGTGGTCCTGGTCAAGACAATCTCCTGAACTCCAAACTGAATGTCAGAATGGGAAAGGTGATTTAAAGGTGATCTAAGTAACTTTTTTACCTTAACCGAACAGCTTTGGAGTCATTGTAATGTTTATATTACTGATTTCGTGTTGAATGGTGGTCGCCTCGCACCCCCCTGGTGCCTGTGAGCCGCAAAACCACCCTTGCAACTTTGGGCCGGCGAGCCGCCGGCCTGAGTGTTAGGAAGTATCGTGTGATATCAGGTCTCGCGAGGTAACGAATTGCTTTACGGCAAAAAACAGATCTGATAAAATGAGCATCAAACAGAAATAACCCGGCGCCGTATACATGTGGTGTTGGGCGCGCGCAGCTCTTAAAGGGGCCACACCTTATTTCCACTCGTTACAGCGTCCATCCTACTGAACAGGTACCGGTGTACAGGGGGAGGGGATCCGGCCGTGAGTGCGAGCCATCTCTGCGTGAGTGCTATTCACGACAGTACAAGTACTCCACAGCGACTCTAGGGGTCGCTTTTTGACAAAAGCGGAATTTTTACTGAGTGCTGCTTTAAGCAATTTTGAGCGTGGCGTGGTTGTTGGTGCCAGACGGGCCGGTCTGAGTGTTTCACAATCTGCTCAGTTACTGGGATTTTCACGCACAACCATCTCTAGGGTTTACAAAGAATGGTGTGAAAAGGGAAAAACATCCAGTATGCGGCAGTCCTGTGGGCGAAAATGCCTTGTTGATGCTAGAGGTCAGAGGAGAATGGGCCGACTGATTCAAGCTGATAGAAGAGGAACTTTGACTGAAATAACCACTCATTACAACCGAGGTATGCAGCAAAGCATTTGTGAAGCCACAACACGCACAACCTTGAGGCGGATGGGCTACAACAGCAGAAGACGCCACCGGGTACCACTCATCTCCACTACAAATAGGAAAAAGAGGCTACAATTTGCAAGAGCTCACCAAAATTGGACAGTTGAAGACTGGAAAAATGTTGCCTGGTCTGATGAGTCTCGATTTCTGTTGAGACATTCAGATGGTAGAGTCAGAATTTGGCGTAAACAGAATGAGAACATGGATCCATCATGCCTTGTTACCACTGTGCAGGCTGGTGGTGGTGGTGTAATGGTGTGGGGGATGTTTTCTTGGCACACTTTAGGCCCCTTAGTGCCAATTGGGCATCGTTTAAATGCCACAGCCTACCTGAGCATTGAGCACTTCCAGCAGGATACTGCACCATGTCACAAAACTCGAATCATTTCAAATTGGTTTCTTGAACATGACAATGAGTTCACTGTACTAAAATGGCCCCCACAGTCACCAGATCTCAACCCAATAGAGCATCTTTGGGATGTGGTGGAACGGGAGCTTCGTGCCCTGGATGTGCATCCCACAAATCTCCATCAACTGCAAGATGCTATCCTATCAATATGGGCCAACATTTCTAAAGAATGCTTTCAGCACCTTGTTGAATCAATGGCATGTAGAATTAAGGCAGTTCTGAAGGCGAAAGGGGGTCAAACACAGTATTAGTATGGTGTTCCTAATAATCCTTTAGGTGAGTGTATATGATGTTAATATGGAAAAACAGAAAATCACTCCCTGCTCTTGAGTGAATAACTTTAGTAGCTTTAATAAGAATACATTTTTTTCTTGAATGCTGCTGTTAAATGCTCTGGCGAGGAGATAAACATGGCAGACTGTGTACAGCTCACTCAGGGCGGGTCTATACTAATAGGGCGGAGTCCATCAGCAGTTGTGGGCGGGACCTGTACAATGTGACACACATTTGTTCAAACACCATGTAAAAGTGAATTTTGCATAATAGGTCGCCTTTAATGTACTGAAATTGGAGGACCAAATTCAATATGATTTTAATTGATGACCCATGGTGTTATACTGCATCCTCACGCGTAATCCTAGAATTTTAGAAGGCCCTACTAAGAATCTAAGATGAGCTTTGTGTCAGGAGCTGCCTATGATGGCAAAAAATGTTGTCTAGGTGGGGACCTCAGTAGGTTTTGAGACACAACGTATGCATCTGTGATTTATTGAGCATGGGTGACTCATTACAGTCCACCAGTTCAGATCAATGGGAAATCAATGCTGATTTGGCCTGCCAAAAGTCAAAACCAATAGGTCATATCCAAAACCTTCTTCGATCAGGACGCTGGGGGATGGTTTCATTGCAGCACTGGGGGATGTTTTCTGGAGGTGAAGGGGCGACTCCTGTTTATGCTTGATTTCCAGGGATTATTATAGCACATAAAGCATCTCCCCCTCTCCTGCAATTCCCCTGAGTGGATCCAGCTGTAAGGGACAGCACCGTTATTGAAAGACTGCATGCTAACCCCAGGCTCACTGGACTGGGGTGGGCGGAGAGGCACAAAGGAGGGGCTGACAAATAGTGGCAGGGTCGAGGGATCAGGCCTTAAAACAATAACCAGACAAAAGACAGCAGACCCTGTACTGATGTAGCACTTTCCTCCCTGTTCAGAGAGGGTCCGTCTCACAGCTGGAAGGGCTTTAATGGACATCAATGGAGTGTTTGATTCTCCTTGAGCTTTTTACATTCACTGTAGAGTTCTTCTTACCAAGATTTAACCAAAACAACTTTTGTTTTCAAATAGTTTCAATAAGTTATGAGAATTTTGGCCAGCTTTTTTGTGTATGTCACAATTGCAATCATTGTTCTTTTTATGTTTTAAAAATTTGTCCCACAAATTGCTGCTAGATTCATTGATTATAATTACAGTGTTCATACTAAAGACGTTGCAAGAGCTTAGAAAGGCTGCATCTTTTTGCAAATTTAGCAAAGAGAGACTCTGATTACAGCCCTATAAGTCACACCACTTCATTTTGTTTTGTTCCGTTCTCCGCAGTGACCCAATTCTTGCTTTGTCTCGCCCCCGTTATACCCATCTTCAATTCTGTGTAATTGTTCCAGCCTCAGTTCTCCAACAGAGCCATCTCTGAGTGCCGACTCTGCTGAGGTTGCCTAATACCGTGTGTTGCTGGAGGCAGGTGAACGTTCAGCGCTCCGCTGCTTCTGTCTGGGGCTCCTGGCTGCGGGTCCCCTGCTGGTGTCATGATGCGCTCGCTGAGCGCTGCCGACGCTCTGGGCTCATCTGGTGCTGTCTGGCTGCTTGTGGTGCGCTTCCCAGGCCTGGCTGTGGGGGCGGCTGGCTGGATGCTGTAGCAGCGTGATGAAAGTGGGTCATGATGTAGTATTAGGATTGAGTGAGCCAAGCCCAGTAAACGGCTTTGGAGCAGCTAAAGTCTGTTTTAGCAATGACTATGTATCAAAACTCAACACATCAGCATACTTCCTGCATAGAAAGTAGTGTTAAATAACACTTGATGCTCATACGCTAATGTTGCATTCTATAGGACATGGGTAAAGCCACACTTGTATTGTGTGGTATTAATGGTATTAAATTATAATTTTTTTGGACATGCACCTTGTGAACAACAATGGTATTTGTATATGGTAGTTGTTCAGTACTCTTGTATAAATTAAAGTCCCATGGTGTTAGCATCTTAGCGTAATTGATGAACTTTGCAACATTGACACTTAATGATCTGAGCTGAATAATGACACTATTGTCTTCTGTAGAGCTGCTTTAATGCTGAAATTGATGTCATTTCATAACTGATGAATATTGCAACACTTATTTTCCTGTTTATTTATGTGAAGCTCCTTTGACAATCTGTATTTTACGAAGCACTGTACAGCTAAATGTGACTTGACTTGATGCAAAGTCACACTCTGTGGAACAGGGAAGACATAATCTCTTTCGAATGAAGGAACATCTGGAGACACATTGCTCTGACCTCCTGCTTAGCTGTTCACCTCTCTGCAGGTTTGACATTTTCCGCTCGGATGCGGTGCAGAGCCCAGCCCCCATAGAGGATAAAGATCTGTGAAGATTAGTGATAATCTGTGATCCAGACTCGGCGTCGTCATCATCCAGCTGAATATTAACAAACAGACATGTCACCTCTTGGTTATGTTGAACTGAATTGAGAGGTGACATTTTTATTATTTTTATTTGATCTTATGCTGCGTTCCAGGCAGGTTTTTGAGCACGTAAATCACGACTTCAAACCAGGACTCACGACTTTGTAGCGTTCCAGGCCAGTCACGCCAAACTACCTGAGCGCAATATACATACTTATTTTTTCAGACACATAACATTGTATTACATAATCGTGTGTGTATATACATACTTATTGTTTCAGACACATAACATTGTAATACATTATCGTGTGTTTATTATTATCATTATTATTATATTATTATTAATTTGACTGCAACGTTATATTGTCCTAAAGTGTATTCTCACTGTGTACCGCCTGCAGAAACACTGCATCCGTAGGGGCTGCCATTGTTGTTTTGTATGGTTTTGCGGGCTATGTGACGTCAGAACTCGTAACTGGGAGTACATCGATCTAGTACGAGTTCACGGGTGGGAAGTCACGGGTTTGACTGCCGTTCCAGTGCACTTTCACAGGTATAAGGTTGGAAAAACACGGGTTACAGGTTGCCTGGAACGCGGCATTATTTCATTATTTTATTTTACAAGGAAACAAGGAGCCCCACAAATTGCGCACAGATGCATTGATTATAATCTGTAAGGCTTTTTAAATCTGTTGTTACACACATGCTCCATATGTATAGGTCCAGGAAAGCCTCAGGTTGCTGCTGCTGTTTTGTTTTGTTTGAGGTTTTCGAGGGGAAATCATGTAATAAATGCTGGAGTTTGTGTAACCTGAACTGATCAGGGGAATTTGGAAGTCAGATTATTGCCATGCACTTCCTGAAGTTCCTGTACAGCTGTGAGACTCAAGGAACTGCAATGCTTTGTGTTCTACTCCTTGGTCTTATGAATAACACATTTGATTTCCACGTTAGAAATGTTTTCAGTATACAGCGCGTGTTTACATAGAGAATGAGTTTACACCATGCAGGGCTGCCATGTCTTCCTGTAAATCCCCCCTGCTGTGCCCCTGGCTCTCTTATCCTGGAGTTTGTGGGACACCGAGGGCGGGGGGTTAGAATAAGAGTCCATTTCCCCCCCACCGTTACCATAACCACAGTGAACTTTGTTTTGCTTTGTCCTTCCAGGAGAGTATTTTGGCAGTTGTCACAGGACTGCCCCGGTTTGTGGTGACAGCAGAATGTCATTAAGAGTAGCTGGTGTGTTACCTCAGGATTTCCAGCCTCAGCGCTCGAAGCTGTGGTGAGGTGCATTATGGGTCACACTGGTTGTTATGGTGATTTGGCAGGCTGGTCTTGCTCAGTCTTCCACTGTTGGTCCCGCTCCCCTCTCATTAGGGAAACTTGTGATTCGGCTTAGCGAGTCCTGGAGTGTCGGGACGGGAAATCCAAGCCCCCCCTCCCGTCTCCTCTCGCTTTCATTCCTCTCTTTTGTCGTGAACCGCTCTCCACTCCCTCCTCCGTATAATCACTAATACCAGCGCAGAGCTTGTGACCTCTGCAGCACGGTCTGTAGTTTCTTACTGCTCTAACAGAAACTGCATGAAATGTTTGTTTGTGTAATTCTGTGAAATGTTTAACATTGTATAAAATAGGGCTGTAGTGCACTCTTATTTCCAGCTATAAGAATTGTAAAATTAACCAAAATATATACAATAAATGTATGCACTACTGCTCAAAAGTTGGAGGTTGGTAAGGTTTTTTAATGTTTTTAAAAGAAGTCGCAACAAGGCTGTGTTTATATGATCAGAAATATTATATTATTAAATTATTACTGTCAATATGTATATATATCATTATTATTATTGTTAATATTTATATTATTACGATTAACAATATTAATATAATTTTTTATATATTATATATGTTTTATGTATTACTCCGGTCTTCAGTGTCATGCTGATTTGGTGCTCAAGAAAAAATTGGAAATATTTTTATGGAAACTGCTAAATTTTTTTGATGAATTATATTATTTTGATGAATAGAAAGTAAAAAAAAACAGCATTTATTTGAAATTGAAATATTTTGTAACATTACAAAATGTCTTACCGTCATCATTTTGATCATTTTTGCATCCTTTTTTAAAAATATTAAAAAATGCTCTTTTCCCAAACTTTTAAAACTGTAGTGTAAATATTACAAGTTTCTTTCCCTGTTGATTCCATCTCACCAAACAGTGTGTAACAGTGTGTAACAGCCGCCCATGAGCTTTTGTTGTTTCCTCGGCCACACTGTTGCTAATTTATGTGTTAGCTTTGGCACTTTTATCGCCACTGAAAATGACACTTCCCGTGAAATGGTCCCGTTTCAGTGTGCACCAGAACATCTGTTCTTAAACCGGCCCAGAGATCAGCTGAAGCCCTCCCACTGTGGCTTATCCTGAAACATGGGCCCCCTGGCTGAGCCAGTCACTGGAAGCCGAGGTATAAATGCCCTCCGACAGGGCTGCTCACTGCAGAGGTCAGCACTTCAGTTCACGCTTGGAAACACGCCACCGTTTGTCTCTGTACTGGGACAGGATAAACGCATTTATGGGTGGTTGCAAAGGATCAAATCTGCCTGTATTGCGTGTAAGTGGAAGACACTGGTTGGGACAGATTAGCATTAGCCGTGTATGGTAGAGAGGCGGCCCGCATCAGGGAATGTGTTCCTCTGACCTCTTTGACTGTTTTAGAGTTAATGATTATAACAGACTAAGCGTGGCCAATACGGGAAAAAAAGCCATTGAAGACATTCAGGTGAGGGCATTTATGTATGTTTACGAAACAGCAATGGATAAAACAACTGTCGAAGGCAACGTGCGTTCTATGGATTTTTGCCCAAGTCTTTTGTTTTCATCTTTAAAAGCATGAAAAAAAGTCAAATGGCACTCTGAAAACGTCTGGCGTTGCTCCAGCTGATAGTGAATGATTAGGTTTGGCCTTGTTTGTCTCAATAAACCAAGAGGAAATCTGTTAGTTTTGTCCTTGAAAAATGTCCCGTCTTTACCGAAAAAACTCACCCTCTGGCTAATTTGGACTATGGAAAGAGTGTTCTCTCATATTGATTCAAATGTCCCCTAGTCTTGACAGAATCGCCCTAGTGACATTGTGTGCCCTCTGTGATGCTATATGGATGTCCTATTTTTATCCAAAATCAAATAAATTGTAGGATTATAATATGTATACTTACTATCTATAATCTATCTATCTGTCATTCTGTCGGTCTGTCAAAATTAAGCTTTAGGGACATTACGTATTTTTTCAGCATAAATGTAATTATTCATACTTTGCATTATGATAATAAAATATGACTCTGACTAATTTTGTGCAATTCACCTGTACATTTCGTATTGACCAGACTGGCACTCTTAGTGGTTTGGGCCGTGGGTAGTAAACGTCCCCTGGTTTGAGTCCAGAGAGTAGTTAATGGCTTAACCTTCGTATCGCAGCTAAGGTGCTCTGACTGAGCTGATAATGTGGTTGGGTTGTTTTTAATGGGCTTGGGCGCGAGCCGCCTCACTGTAATGGGCTGGGAGGATGAAGAACAGCACTCATCATCTTTGTCCGCTGTAGGGTATCGTTTCTTTTACAGCGTCAGGGATGTTGTTGTTATCGGACTCTGTCGGTGTAAGGAAGATGGGTTTGTGAGAAGGGGTGAGACGAAACCAAAATATTAGTCGTATAAGTGTCACGATTATTAATAGAAATTTCAATACCCCCGGGAATTATATAGGATATGATGTGATGTGATATTATTATTATTATTATTATTTGTCCCAACTGATTTCATTTTAACTGTGAATACACCAAAATGCCCAGTTTGACTGAGAAAAGACACACAGACGGTCCTCATTGAGCATGTGCACAAATTCACACAAATTCCTCATTTAGCATTTGCAAGCAGCTGCGTACCAGTCAGACATCACTCTGGTCATTTTTTTTGGTATAATTACACAATTGACTTGTAGTAAAACTTGGTACCAAAGTACCAGTTTTGTTGAAAAGTTCCCTTTGTTGTGAGTATTCTTTGCACCCTCACATTGAGAAACCGCCGCGCGCACACACACACACACACACACACACACACACACACACACACACACACACACACACACACACACACACACACACACACACACACACACACACACACACACACACCGTGCAACATAAATGTGGAATGCTGGAGTTTGGATTTGCAGTCCCTATTGAGCTGTTCTGCAGCACTGCCCTGTATCCTTGAGTCTGTCATACATGAGTCATACTGCAATATATCAACGAGAGAAAAGGAGGGAGGGGAACAATACTGCTGCAACACTTAAAAAGAGAAAAGAAACAACAGGAAGTCAGTTCTGAATATTGATCCATTTCTTGCTGCTTACTTGCACAGTGCTTCAACGTTGCGTTATGCAGCAAAACACAATGCACATGCATATAAGTCATGGCACGTTATTTTCTTTTGCTCCGAGTCATTCACTTGGTGTACTGTATCTCTCTCTCTTGTGTCACCCACACTTGTGCAGAAAACAAAAACAATCATCTTATCTATTCAATAGAGAGCGGTCCTGCACCATTAGTAAAGGCCTTGCTTTCGGAGGCTGTTCTGAATGTTACCAGACAGCGCGATTACATTAAATGCATTAGACCAGTGTTCATAATGACAGCTGTGTTTCCTCCGTGCTCTGACACTCCTGTTTGTTTCCTCTGATTCGTTCAGAGTGCCCACTTGGAGTTGATAGATGCCTTAATGGCAGTGGGTGCCATGGAGACGGTGAGCACAGTCTTGGCGAGTGGCGGATCAGAGCTGCTGGGTACAGATGCAACCTGGGACAGAGCCCTGCTTTACTGGGTGAACACGGTGAGTCTTGTAAAGAACCACAGCCACACACTTTCTTGTAGCTCAAACAACTCTCATAAACTCACAGAAGCACATGGACTAATCTGAAAACTGTCATTCACATTTTAAAAGAATAGTAAAAACAAAAAGGTGTACCATCCTCATTTACTCACTCACACTCACACCTCTATGACTTGTTGTGGACCACAAAATATATTTACCATAATATGCAATATTCCAAATTTCTATATCCGTGAATAACACTCTTAAGTCTTTAAGAAATACATCTCACACTAAACTATCACATTGATTCAGAAAACTTAGTCATATGAACTACCTTTATAGTGCTTTTTTTTGTTGTTGTTGTTGTCTTTTTGGAGATTAAGATCTTCATCTCCATTCACTTTAATTGTGTGGAAAAGCACCTTGAATATTGTGTTGAATATTCGGTGTTCTAGAGAGGAAAGAAAGTCAAACCGGTTTGGAGCAGCATGCAGAATTTTCATTTTGGAGTGAACTATACCTGTAACCTTTATACTTGACTGTTTACATACATGCGAACCCATAATACAGTACACAATATTATTGGTCCTAAAATAGAACCTTGTGGAATACCTTTACAAAAGACTGTGGGTGTGGTCTTCAGAAAATAAAGTCACATGGACTACTTTGATGTTTACTTTTGATTTCATTTCATTGTCATAAGATGTTTTTTGTCTGTCTTTTGTGTAGCTGAACCAAAAATTGAAGGAACAAACAGAAGGTACACAAAATGACACCTCTCAGCCTAGTACTGAACCACAGCCTGTTCAGCCTTCGGTAAGAAACGCTCATAAACAAACATTCAGACTTGCTCACAAAAAGCTCAAAGGCCACATGTGTACAATAACTTGACCCCTACACCTCTACAAAACAGTCACTCATTTCCTTAGCAGCACTGTCTTTTTCCTCAAGGTCTACTTTGCTGTCAAAATACCTGTCCTGTCCTCTTGCTGCTTCTCACTTCTCCTCCTGCCTCTTTCTCTTCTCATGTTCCTTCACTTCTTTCTGACAGTGTCCCACCCGCTGGTACTGGAAACTTGTTCCTGTAAGTCTCTCTCTCGTCTTCCATTCCACCCTACTTTCCTCCATTTTCCTGTCTTAAATCCATATAATTCTGTCCTATTTCGCCCCCTGCTGACTGCAAAGGTTACGTAGATGGAATTTGATTCCTTAGACCTTAGGTCTCAATTTTAGGATCCCCCCCATATTATAACATGGACAAAAAATATGTATGATAATATTGTCTCATATTGGATGCAGCGCAAAGTCATCAGATTATTACCAGAATTAAAAGAGTTGTCTCAACATCTTTCATCATCATTTGCATTACAAAAAATAAACCAGATATAAACATGGCATGACATGTAAATTGTAGGTTAGGATACCATAATATTTGGTGGTTAAGTGAATATAGTATGTGTCTTTGTGATATTAGTGCACTTATCTGCTAGTGTATGCTGTGTGTATCAAGTGGAAAAGGTCTTGGTGTATCAGGTGTTGGCTGTTCACACAGCTGCCTCTGTTCTTTGCTTTGACCTGTTGAAGACTAAGTCTCTTGAGTGTTTGCTGTCCCACTTCCCATTAGCAACGTCCTTGCTGTTCGCTTTTACTACATTTAGTCTTCATGCGCTGTTTGCATGGATTCTTTCAGCTTTTTTTTCTGTTTAACATTTGTGTCTGATTGTCAATTGTATGCATTTTTCATTTAGTGTTTGTATCTTGGGTATGGACATGATGCTTCCATCTCTGTTTTTGCAGTTGCATAAAATGGATAACAGTTTTGTAATAGTGTTTTTCTTTACTGTTTAACAAATGCACTGTCTGCTGTCAATGCAAAATGAACAATTTCACAATAACAATTTTGAACAACAAGCAACATAGCACTTTCTCCATTATTGCTGTTCAACTATATTTTTATCTTGTTCAGATCCGGTACAGGAAGGACAGGATGCAGTCTAAGCTTAAACCTTGTTTTCCTGTGGTGAATGAAGTGAAGGATCTCTCAAACGGATGTGCCATTGCTGCTGTTATTCACCATTACTGTCCTGGTCTACTGAGATTAGAGGGTACGGTCACATCTCAAATCTGCGTCTGTCACTGAATAGATGAGTAAGACATTTTTTTCAGGTCCTTCCTTGTCTTTTCAGATGTATGTATGAAGGACTCCATGTCTGTGGCTGACAGCCTGTACAACCTACAGCTGATTCGAGAGTTCTGTGACAGCTGTTTAAAGAACTGCTGCCCTCTAGTGTTGGAAGATTTACTCTACAGCCCAGCTAAATTAAAGGTATAAAGAAAACTAAATTAAAACACTAAGTTTGAACCTGAATAGTGTAGTTCAGTTAGTAAAGTAAGGACAAAGTGTACTGTGCTGCTGACTATGTTTTATAGTATGTGCTTTCAAGTATGCAGTAGACTAGTGCACCAAAAAAAAAAGTAATGCAATGGTAAATCAGACACCTTTTAGATTAGTCTTTAGACCAAGCAGTAACAATGACCAGTCCTAATGAGTGAGGTTTAAGCGGTTAAATCCACAAATGTTATTTTTCTTCTTAGGTACACTAAAATAAGTGCTGAAGAAACATCACTCGTGGATTCGCTGGATGTGATTTATAATGGGATGAGACCATTAAAATACTTTACTTTAAAATACTAACAGAAATAGTGCACCGTTCAAGCATCTGTCACGTGCAGTTGCACAGTAGCCACGACGCAGAAGAATAATTGTATTAACACTCAAACTAGAATACTCAGGAGATCACAGAGAAACACTGGAGAAAACAACCACTACACAAACAAGACCGAACAAGGAACTGAGGGCTTAAATACATGGGGAGTGATCATTAACTAGAACAGAAACCCATGCAGGATTAATTAGTTTTTCTCAGTCGCTTTGGTGCATTTCTCAAATCATCCTTAATATTTGCAAAGAAGCATGTGCATTCTCAAAACAATTCGTACAAACAGCACCAAATATTGGATTACCTGCAAAAGCCTGTAACTTACTCAAAATCTTTAGTTCATCTCTCAAAAGTAAGTATTTGTGTCAATGAACATATCAGTGCCATCAGAATGAAAAGTCCTTGTGTCATTGTTCACAAACAAGACAGTCAAAATGCCTAGTCATGTTGTCAATAAAACACTGCACTCTGTTAGTATTACCTGATGTAAACTATGGCAACAGTTTGGATGACAGTTACTGTATTGAAATGTACAAAGCTGCGCTTCTTCTGTATGCCATATATCCATTTCAAAAGTACAAATTTACACACTACTGTACGAGACTGGATAGGATTCACAGTTACGCTTTTACTAGTGGTCTGACAAAAAAAAAAACATTACAATATTATTGTGATATAGAAAAGAAAACGAAATAGGGGCACAAAGGCGAAAATACAACATTAGAAAGGCAAACACAGGAAAGACCCCTTAGGCAGATCTTTGCTTTTGTATGCAGCACTGTATATGCTTGCCAATTGAAGGTTCATGAGATGCAACTTTGAGCTATTTCAGAGAACTGGTTTCTCATTGGTTGATCTACATTCTTTTCATTCGTGAAAGTCAAGATTCACCTGCATAATTAATCAATTCATGGCACATTTACAAAAAGTCTAATAGAAATGTGTAGAAAATATGGTTGACAGTTTATGACAACTAGATCATAGACCTCAGATGTTTTTAGGGGTAAGACTATTGCACAGAGAACTTTTTAATACATTTTGAGCAACATGGCATTAGCAACTGATAATGTAGGAAACCGCAGACAATTGTACATAATCAATTGCATGAATGTACCAAAGCAATCGCAATTTGATGAGCACAAGTGACTAGATGATGTGGAGGTTGAACGTAGTTTTGAGAATTTCATTTCTGATCTGAGAAAAGCACCAAAGCGACTGAGAAAAACTGTAATAAACAAGGAGATTAACGAAGGAACAGAACTCAGGCCAAGCAGAACAGGGAACAGTGAAAACGTAACCAAAACACAACATGCATGTTATAGCACCTTTGATCTACTGTTTTGAACTTGTGATTTTGAAGCTCTAAAGCCACTTTATATAGGACAGAGGGTATGCAAATTGTCATTCACTCAAGAAAATTAGGTTCATCCCCCCATTAATGTTCAAAGACAATGGAGATGGACTAGATGAGACGCTTTATGCTAATTTAAAAGTCTGCATTCCTGATGTATTTTATATGGAGTGTTTTTTCCCTCTCTCTCTAGACAAACATACTGAGCTTTCTGGCAGAGCTCTTATATTGGTTTGAAGTCTCAAAGCCAGAGTTTGTTCAGCCCTTGCAGGACACAGAGCTGACTGGTTAGTATTTCTTGAATCTTGATGAATTAATGTCTTATTTTCCTATAGCTTTTAGATTTTGATTATCCCGTAACAGTCTGTTAAAAAAGGATGTGCAAGATAAAGTACTGTTCTATTCTTGTAGAAACATCTGGAAGGAACAATAATGGCAACAGTGGGTCCAGCAATAGGTATAACAAAGTTGTTTTTAAGAATAACCAAAATTATACCCGATCAGGTTTTATAATGATCTGAATCTTCAATGTTTTTAAAAATGATCACCTAAAATGAACCTTTATAAAATCAAAGCCGAAACTTAACAGCAGGTTATTTGTCCTTTTATGTGCCAGTGGTTCCCCCTCTATCTTCAAAAAGCCTTTTCTGCCCATCTCTTCCTCTGTGACTGCAGCAACAGGTGAGGAAAACACACTGTCTCTTTGTCCCAGGTCATCAGCTGCCAATGTGTGTCTGTTCCATTCTTTGTATTGTATACACACTGTGTTTATTCTTGTTTGGCGATCACATGGTCTGTGTTTGCATGTTGTATTTGTCACATGGTCATGTGTGTGTTTGTGTTGTCTGTATGATCAGGATCTCTTACTCAGTCTACCTCAATGTCTCATGTAGAGGCAGCAGGACGAACATGGAATAAGAAACCTCTTAGGTAAGGTTCCTCTAATATCCTTTATGCATTTTACTTTTCTTAAAACTTTCTAAAGGCATTCATCTTTTTTTCATGACTGCTCTTCAGCCGTCCACTCTCCTCTGCGGTGTCCTTCAGTATCCCTTTTGGTCTAGACAGTGATGTTGACATTGTGATGGGCAACCCTGTTATAACCCGATCTGTCAGCTCAGACAATCTCAACCCTACTGGTCAATCCATGACACGTGTCCCCTACACACCTCCAGAGGACCTCAGCCACTTCATGAGTAAACCCTCTGGGCCCAATGGCCCTCAAAGAGCTTCCTGGGCCACTCGGACTCGTCCTATGCTGGCAGAGGAGAACGGCATTGATGAGAGTGAGACAGGAGAGCTACCAACAATTGAAGAGGCACTGCAGATCATCCACAATGAAGAGAAGATGGAACCTCGTCTCCACCCTGACGGGGCACCCGATGGTTTCTTTCTGCATTCACCAGATGATCCAGCAAACGCTAGACGCAATGGCAGCCCAGTGACTCTCAGCTCTTCAGCCCCATCCCGCTCAGGAATGCTCTACCATCGATCCTCAGGAGTACCACCAGAGCCCAGTCGCACCAGACACCCCTCAGAAGGATCCAGAGATGACGACTCCGTGTTAAGAGATGGAAGCGTTGATTCGGATGCCTCGGAAGATCTTCCAAAAACCCATTCAACCCCTGCCACACCCGCTTCGGGCCCTCGCATAACTCGATCGCGTGGTGAAGAGACACCGGATAGTGGCGTGAAGATGACCAATTTTGCTGAACGGAAGAAGAAAATGGTTCCAGAGCAGGTACGAACCAATGAGCCACAGGCCTCACAAATGACTACATGGGCCAAGAAATCAGAGGAGAGTCCCAGTAAGAGTCCTGCTCTCAGCACTGAAATGTCAGAGCTGGGGGCGAGGCTGGAGGAGAAACGGAAGGCCATTGAAGCTCAGAAGAAGCGTATAGAAGCCATCTTCGCCAAACACCGGCAGCGGCTGGGAAAAAGTGCCTTCCTACAGTTAAAGAAGGAGCAGGAGGATGGGGATGGCGAGGAAGGACGTCAAGGGGAGGCTGGATCCTCCTCCATAGAAGATGACCTCAGCCGTTTGGCACTGGAGGAGAAACTGGCACACTTGGAGAGTGAGGAGGAGCAACAACAGGAGGAACAGTTGAAAAAGAGGCCCTCAATAGAAGAAGAGGGAAATATCAAGCCCACTGTCCAACAGGACAATCCAATAGAGAAAGACAAATCTGGAGTAGGAATTCCTGGAGGGAAAGGCACAGCCCCACTGGGTGATTACAACAATGCTGTGTCTAAACTAAGCGCTGCTCTCAATTCTCTCCAAAGTGATATGCAGCGCCTCTCGGAGCAGCAGAACCACCTGATGAAGAAGAAAGCAGCACCTAACCAGGCTTGGGTTATCCCACCAAGCTCCAAACCCTCAACAACTGCACCTTCTCGTTTGTCAAGGGAGTCCAATCGTGATCTGCCCTCTACCACCTCCTCTCCTTCCCCATCTCGCAAGATTTCGAGTCACACCGCTCCGCCAAAATCACCTGGGTCCCAACGTAGAGCACAGTCTGCACCTCCGAAGAGCCCCAAAATGCCTCACCGCCCTAGACCTGCAGAGCTCAAGACGCCAGTTTCCACACGATTCATAACTGCCCCTCAAAGTGTGGAAAACATTCCTCACTTAAAAAGAGTGTCTCCTTGGCAATGCAGGGATCAGAACTCGTCCACTTTCAGCATAGGTACATCCAGTCAGAGTGAGTCCCGCTCAGCTTCATCCCTGTCCAGACCAGAGGACAACTTCTCAGACACCGGTTCCAGTGAGGACCAAACAATCTTCAGTATGGACCTAGAGGGTGGATTGTCACAGGTTCTGCCCCAAAAGGAGCGTCGGGGTGTGGGCAGCAGCTCAGGAGCTCCTTCCGAGTGCTCTTTTGAGAGTGACATTCCTACAGAGGCTTTCAACGGCAAGCGCAGTAGCCTTATCGAGATCTCACTGTCCTCTCTCAAAGCATTAGAGGGTGAGGCAGATCCGAGCCAGGATATCTTCTCAGACTCAATGAGTGACCAAACAGAGCCAGAAATGAGGGGTGGAGTTGGATTCTTCTTTAAGGTTAGGGGAGAATCAAATGTAAACTTTGTTTAGATGTTTAGCCTAAAAGGTGTAGCATTCATTTAACTGTCTAAAACGGTCTCTGTAGCAGGATGAAGCACGACCCGAGGATGAGATGGAGAAGAGGAGAGCTGCATTACTTGAGAAACAACAAAAGAGAGCAGAGGAGATAAAGAAACGAAGACAGGAGCAAGAAAGAGAGAGGGAGGCAAGGTAAGGCTTAAAAACAATGCTTTGGAAAGTGACCACGATGTGTTGTATAAATTAAACAACAAATCATTACCCTTATTGAGGAGGTGTATGCTTTTACTTTCTAAGAGATTAGCTTTGTCGGATGATAAAACCTTACATTTAATCCTCTGGGGTTGACAAACGCGCCGGCGTCCTTCTTTTTTTCTGGAGCACGTCTCTAAACTTAAACAAAACTCAGTGAATACTAGTCACACAGGCAAGAGCAATATATCTTTATATTGCGGCAGTGGCTCAGTGGATCATGTAGGTTGTCTACAAACCGGAAGGTTGGTGGTTCTATCCCCGGTTCCACCTGACCAAGTGTCGAGGTGTCCATGAGCAAGACACCTAACCCCAGCTGCTCCCGACGAGCTGGGTGGCGCCACCGTCGCCGTCGGTGTATTAATGAGTGAGTGAATGGGTGAATGTGAGGCAAATATGTAAAGCGCTTTGGTGGCCATTGGGTCTGTGAAAGCGTTATATAAATGCAGTCCATTTACCATTTTTACCATTTTAATCTGTACGAAAAGAGTGCAATGTCAGTTGTTCTCATGGCTACTCATTATCTGCTAATGTGAACACACCTACTGAGAGCACTCTCTATTGAAACGCAAATGATCTGAGGCAATCCATGCAAACCTGTTAATGCCCACATCAACTCGATAAAACTCATCAAGTTTAATCAGATTCATGTACTTTACGTCGTCTTGCGACGCTGTGAGGAATAATAATAGCGGAATAATAATCTCGGAATAATAGAGGAATAATAATCACGTGTCTGTGATTCATATGTGAATCACAGACACGTGATTCACATATGAATCACGTGTCTGTTTGAATGAACAGCACAGATGCGCGCTGTTGTTTACTACAGGCAACTTAACATGCTATTTTTACATGAACATGAACACATCTACTAGTTTAGCTTTTCCCAAACTATATTGCTATACTGAGATGAGTAAAAATGGACTGAAATATGTTGAAATAAAATGTCTTTGTACAAGCAACGTATTAAACTGCAAATTAACATTTATATGCCCTATAATAATATATCATAAAAACGATATGTTACAGACGAAGCATATGTTTAGACAAGATATGTTTAGACAAGATATGTTTAGACAAGATTTCGTTGACTAGTTTTGGATAGATTATAAAGTTTTTACAATAAAATAGACTACTGTCACATCAAATAAGCTTTTGTTCGCCAATTTTTGCTCATATGTTAAATATATAGTATGGGATGTTTTGTCAAAATAAAGTAGGTATATTGAATTATCAACTTAGATGTTATTATAGTGTTTGTTCCAACTTCCAATTCAAACTAATGAATGCTTAACTTTGAAATGTGTATGATAAAATGTATGCTTTTTACAAAGAAACACAATATTTGCACTTGAAATATGGTTAAAATTGTAATTGTTGTTGATTTATATGTGAAAACTTTAATAAAATAGCAAAAAATATATTTACAAGGTAGATGTAAACAAAATCTTAATAGGTCAATATAAGCCTTCTCATTCAATTATTATTGTGTATTATTAGTGACAAATTTGGGGAGAGGATAAATATTCCTAAACTTTCTGAAAATACACTTTGAGAATTAACTGGACAATTAATAGAGATGTTTACCTGGGATATTATACAATTTGCATGCATACAAAATTTGTGGAAAGACATGTTTCCAACTCTAACTTTGAACCAATTCTCTAGAATGGTCCATATAGCCTATTTGAACAGGATTTGTTTCCAGGTATGACTGTGTACTCAAAATTTACATCAATGTATGTAGAGTAGGCAGGATGATTTTCGTTGAAGCAAAAAATCTAGGCGAAAACATCCATTATTCAAAAGTTTTGTGGACGTATATTTAATATGCGTTTTGTGGCCTTATCTCAGAAACGTATTTGTTTGTGTGTTTTCAATAACCATGCATAAACATTATTCTCTCAAAAATACAAACATGTACATACATGTTGCTCACATATTATGTTATGCCCTGTTTGTGCTGAATAGAATGTAATGACACCTTTTCCATTTAATATGTTTATAAGCAAATGAAAAAAGCACAAATGTCAGGGCATGTCAAAACATCCCAAGGACCCCAAAAACACCTTAGACCCCAGGGGGTTAATGTAGGGGTCTGGGCCATATGTGGAGACAATGCCAAGCTGAAACAAACACCTCAAGAAAATAATTTGTTATAACAGTGTTATAACCTTAGTTATAATAGCATAAAGAGTATTTTTTTTGCAACTGGAAGCAGCATATCATAGCATAACATAGCAGCATAACTTGGGGTGGTTTCTTTTTACTTTGGTTAGAAATGTCCTAGAAACAACCAAGAATAACCTACTGCATAGCAGCGCATGGAAAATCACTCAGAGCACCTTAGCAACTGCATAGAAATTTCCTGGCCACCACCCACTAGCAGTGTGGTGGTAAGTTTTGTTTAGGCAACAAAATAAGTATGCATTTCATCTCAAACAAGCACACTTAATGGCCCAGTTTCACATACAAGGCTTGGACTTAGCCAGGATTAGGCCTTAGTTCAATTAGGGCATTTAAGTAGCTTTTATAAACATGCCTTAGAAAAAGATATTACTGGTGTGCATCATGAGACAAAACAATAGCACAGACATATTTTAAGATATGAGATTTAAGCCTCGTCTGTGAAACCGGGGGAATATGTGCTAATCCCTTTGCAACATTGTACCTTTATCAGTGCTGTCTTCATATGTAACAGCAGGCCTTCTTCGGTGGATGAGCCAGGTAGAGGAGAGGAGAGACCCAAAACTCCTTCTACCCCTCCGCCTCCCCGCACCCCTCCGCCAGATGGTACTCCTCAGCGGCGTGGAGACTTCACCCGCCAGGAATATGAACGGCGGCATCAGCTGAAAATAATGGAGGATCTGGATAAAGTCCTCCGTCAGAAACCCACTACTGTCAGAGGTGTCAAGAAGCAGAGGCCCAAAACGGTGTTCAGAGACGACTCGGACCTCTCCCGCAGCCCTGCCAAAGGGTTTATGGGCAAGTCATTGTTCAACTGGAAGCTTATTTCCTGTCCATTGATATTGTAGTAAAGCCAATGTCATGAATTCATGTACTCTTTTCTCTTTTAGGTTCTAGATTAAATAAAGTTTACTCCCATTCAACAATGAATCTGTCCTCTATGGCTAATGACAGTGGGACGCTAACTGTCAGAAAATCTCCAAGGTAAATCTGGTCTGTATGTATTCTGGTGAGAAAACACCTTCTCCTCCTTTGTGACCTCACATCTGAACATATATTCCTTTCCACAGTCGTTCTCATTCACCATCCAGACTGCTATCTCCAGGCCGTTTTGCTGCACAGAATGGGGACTGGGAAAATGCATCTACTATATCGTCTCCAGGCTCCATCCCAGAATACACTGGTAAACTGTAAAAATGATATGATTTGCAGTATTATTAGAGGTGCTTCTAAGGCCATTGCTCTTTCTCATACTTGGGGTTAGGTATTTGAAGAACCTCACATATTAATTCTAGAGAGCTCCCTGTGGGACACAGTTTGAAGATAAATGACACCTCAAATCCGGCAATATTGTGGTCTGCAAGTTTTGCATGGGCAAGCACCATTCACAGAAAATGAAGCTTTTTTGAGTTTTACGGATATTTAGATTAGGTCATGTGATCTTGAACTTGCTTTCTCTTGTTGAAGCATCTGTTTGTCAGGATCACAAATCAAGCATTTGTATCTTAGCAATGAAATTTCTGTTTCAGGACCTAAACTCTACAAGGAGCCAAGCTTCAAGTCCAATAAGTTCATCATCCATAATGCCATCTCACGCTGTTGTTTGGCAGGAAAGGTCAACGAACCACAGAAAAACAAGATTGTAGAGGTGAGTAACCCATCAGTCACCATCTTTAGTGCACTCTGGTCTCTCATGACTCATTGCGGACAGCCAGCACATATTTCCATGGTGCATTTGAATGCATGATGTAATGGTCTCACATTCTGTTCATTTGTGTTTTTTTCTTGTCTGCAAAAGGAATTGGAGAAAAGCTCTGCAAACCATTTTCTCATCCTCTTTCGGGATGCTAGCTGTCAGTTCCGAGCGGTTTATACCATGAACCCTGAGACGGAGGAGATGGTTCGGCTTACAGGTATTGGCCCACGGATAATCGGTCCCAATATGGTGGAGTCGATCTACAAGTACAGCTCTGACCGCAAGCAGTTCACGGCCCTCCCGTCCAAGACCATGTCCATGAGTGTGGATGCCTTCACCATTCCAGGCCACCTATGGGAGCGCAAGCGCCCAGGAACCCCAAAGAAGCTCGGGACCCCAAAATAAAGCCTGCTGGAAATGCAGCTATACCTGAGCTGGCCATGTAACCCTGGCTTTCTGTCCCGACTCCGGCAGTGCAGAGAGGCACATTGGATGGAGTGCATGCCAGAAGAAAGAGTTGGATAACAAAAAGGAGGCCCAAAATCCTAAAATAAAGTGCCCTCAGAGGTGTATAGCTGGTGACTGCGTAACCACAGGTCAAGTTACAACAGATTTATTCAGAAATCTCCATTGCCATTTTCTTCGGGTAACTCAAGTGAACTCAAAAGTCATATTTCGAAGAAAGTGGCCTGATTGATTTTCTAAGATTGTAGGAAAATTATTCTTGGCATTTTAATGTTAAATCGTTAGATGAATCTTCCAGTCTCATCATTCAAGTAAAATGAATGTCCCCCTCAATAGAAAGAAAAAGATCCTCAGAAACGTTACTGTCCTCCAGCTCCTACCCTTCTTTACTCAATGAACTGGATTCTTTGGCGTGTAAAAGGATTCCCCGGATGAAATGGGATCTTTGCTCTTTGATGAATGCAGGGCACAAACCAACACAAGCCTTCTTATCGTCTGTTTTATCGTCATCAGCCTCTCAGTTTTATGGGACTGAATGTAGAACTGTATTACAAAGGGGCACAGCCACTCACCTTTACGTCACGTCATAAAAAAAGTCCCATGCTGCTGTCCGTTTCGAGTCTGTCTTGCTCTCTAATAAAATCTGCCTTGTCCTTTCGCCTTCCTAAAGTCAGCCGTAGACACCTGGATGTTTGTTTTCTTACTGCTTCGAACCTTATCTAACTGGATTACTCGAGCTTTAGGAACTCAGGAAAGCATGTTAAAGACTCAAATATTTTTCCTTCCCATTTGCTTTAAGAATGAACGAAAAAGCAAAAAGATGCCAGAACGTGCTGTTGATTTCCATTAATGATACTCAACAAAAGTCTTTTTACTCTGTTTAGCTGTAACTGGGAAAATAATGTAAGTAAAAGATCGAGGCTGGTTTAATATACTGTATATTTGAATGCTGTTTATTGCTGATTCTTTAATTTTTGACAATGATTTGTATATTGTGGAGATTTGTAAGCAATGAATAAGCTACCCTGCTGCTTCACTACTAGAGCTGGATGTGTTGGTGTGAATGAGTGTGTGAGCGGGACGGGGACAGAAAGAGACAGATGGCGAGAAACAATAAACGCAAATCTGACGTCAACTCTCACTTATGTACCCAGAGCTGAGTGATCAAGTGATATTGTTTGGCTGACATGTAGCAGCAAATAGTGATATACCAGTAGTGAACACCAACAGATAGTGATATCAAACAAACACTAACAGAAAGTGATAAAAGGCAGAAAAAGCAGCCCAGGTGTCTGCAGCCTTAAACGGTTATGTTGTTTCTATGAATATGATCGTCTCCGAACTGTCTAACTTGGCCTTATTTGTTTCATGAACGTCTTGAGTTGTCTTTTTGTATGAAAGGGGCATTTAGTCTGTTTCTCTTCGTCAAAGCACTAACTGATTCAATCAGGCCACTCTCTCCTGTCTTTGGAGGATCAGATGAAGTACTTTATAGATTTGCCGTAAAGATGTACATATTTTTGTAAAGGGCAAAAAAAAAAATCATTTTTGAAACGGTCGATTTACATGTTTCTGTGTCAAATGAATGGGAGATGTGTATTTGTGTGTAGGTTGCATGTGTTTGACTGTTGGGTGAAACATGATGGTTAATGTAACTGGATTCTGTGCAATTCTGTAGAATGTTAGGTCACCTAAGGTGTATTTATTGGGTAAGGATGAGCTAGAGTTTTCTGTTTAGTTTCAGATTTGATTATTTATGTTCTGGCAAATGTGGTGATTCACTTGTTCATTTCAGAAAGCACATTGATGTTTTGTTTTTTCCTTTCACTGTTTCCATGTTCATGTTAGTAGATTTTGTTTTTCTCCCAAATTCTTTGATTATGGATCGGTCCCAAGTGACAGGATTAGAAAAATAAAATCATTTTTAAGTACTCTCAATTATTTCTCATCATCACTGAATTTACTTTAGTTCTATCAATTATATACAGTTGTAATCAAAATTATTCAACCCCATCGCAAATCAGGTTTATTGGCAAAATTTAGACTTTACTTTACTTTTACTTTACTGATTTGTTAAATGCAAACAGCTGAATTGAAATAGCTCAACACAAATGTTTCAAGTGGGTTTCAAAATTTAGACTTTCAGCTGTTTGCAATGAACAGATCAAACAAAAGTAATTGAAATGGCTCAACACAAATGTTTCAAGTGGGTTTCAAGTTTACCCAAATTCAACTGAAAATGCAACATTTAATGACTTCTGCAGTCTCAAAATTATTCAACCCCTTCATGGCAAGCATCTTTAGTACTTGGTCGAACACCCATTTGTAGTTATGACCTGCTGCAAACGAGATGTATAACAAGACGGCAGCCTCTGGCAGCGTTTCTAAGGAATCTTAGCCCATTCCTCATGAGCAATGACCTTCAGTTCAGTAATATTCTTGGGTTTGTGTGCTGCAACTGCAGCCTTGAACCCCATAGAAAATCTCTGGTGGGATTTGAAGTCAGATGACTGTGATGGCCACTGTAGAATCTTCCAGTACTACTTCTGAAACCAAGCCTTGGTGGAATTTGAGGTATGCTTGGTATTATTGTCCTGTTGGAAGGTCCAATGACCCCCAAGCTTCAGCTTCCTCACTAACGGCATGACGTTTTCTCCTAGGATTTCCTGATACTTCAATGTATCCATCTTGCCTTCCACATGCTGCATGTTTCCATTGCCAGAGGATGCAAAGCAGCCCCAGAGCATCACCGAGCCCCACTATGCTGAACTGTAGACACGGTGTTCTTTTCAGCATATGCTTCATTCTTCTTCCTCCAGACATGCCGTTGATCCATAGGGCCGAAAAGATCCAGTTTTGTTTAATCACTCCACAGAACTGAATCGAGAATCAGCTCTGTGGCTTATTTATATGACTTTTCTTTTGCATTTATGTCAGTAGTGGTGTACATCTTGGAGTTCTGGCATGCGTTTAGTACACACCTTACGCCTGTCGCCATCAAGTCTTGCTGCAGGTCTTTTGCAGTCACTCAAGGGTTTTTTCTGATCGTGCCTTCTCAGAAATCTGGTTGCAGCTGTTGATAGGTCCAGGTAGTGTAATCTCTGTTCCCTTAACTTTGAACTTGCAAACTATGCTTTCAACGGTGTCTCTTGGGACATTGTCAAACGTGACACTCAACAAACCTCGCCAGTTCAGATATTTCATCTGTTCTAGCTCAAGCACACCTGGTACAACTAATGAAGCCCTTGCTTAGTTGCATCACCTGTGCTTGAGACAACACCTGTTTTGCAGATTTGTGCTGTTGTGAGGGAGTCTATTAAGGGGGGTTGAATAATTTTGAGACCGCATAAGTCATTAAAAGTTGCATTTTCAGTTGAATTTGGGGAAACCACTTGAAACATTTGTTGTGTTGAGCTATTTCAATGACTTTTGTTTGATTTGTTCATTGCAAAAAGCTGAAAGTCTACATTTAGTCAATAAACCCGATTTGCAATGGGGGTTGAATAATTTTGATTACAACTGTACATTGTATCAGCTTTTGTTGCCATTTTTTACTTTTTTTTAAATTAGAATGAAATTTAGAATTGCATGTCCATATCCATGATTTCTTGCCCAGTTCACACTGTTCCCATTCCAAAAGTCCATCTTTGAAAGTGTGGGAGAAGGTTACAAACAGTCCCAGTCATATTTCACCACTACAATTTTCATTATTTTGTTAGGTTCTCATCAATGTAGATTCTGATTAAAGTAATTAAGGATTCTTAATTGTCATGAAAAATGTTAGTTTTCTGTAGGCAATTTTTGTTGTTGTTGTTGTTGTTGAGTAAAATATGACCCGGACATGTTCTTGATGGGCTGCATGAGCTTCAGCCTTCTATAGCTGCATTCTAGAAACAAGACGCATGATATCAGACCATATTACAGACGCACTTTAATTTGAAACTCAATCTTGTAAACAATTAGGAGAATTTAACACAATATGTGATGAGCCTCTGTGTCTCTAGAGAAGTTAGAGACCTTTTTTTATTTTTTTTATGGACGTGATCCATAACAGTAAGGCGAGTTATACAAGAGTATGCATCTTGTACACCCATAATACCTGAAACTATTTATTGCTCCTGTTGTTAGATATGTAGCACTAGCCAGTAATGAAATAAACCAGCATCTGGACTTGTTCAAAGCTCAAAATGATTAGACACCACAGGTCAAATTTATGAAAGCATGTCCGCTAACAAGCTTTGTTTTGATTGTGTCTCATGTGTGCTTGGCATGAAGCATTTCAGTCAGCAGGGAGTTGCAGGGCAGATCTCCCAGCAGGTGGCGCTGATACAGATATTCCTCGACCTGCAGGCTGATGCTGCGCACCTCCGGCAGACGGAGCAGCAGCTGTCCAAACTTGTCCGAGTGACCTGGGTGGGTTTGCATAGTGTGGTCCATCAACGCCCTGTTTACACGCTCTTGAGTTTGTTCTACCTGCCTTCGATCCAGTACTGATTTAACATCTGCAAAACACATGACCCTTACAACTCTGGTCCAACAGGAATGGTTTAAACATTTGGGAATGAAAAGAAACCCACCTGGATTGAAGAGAACCAGATATTTGAGACACACAAACTCCTCTCTGTCCAGCTGCAGTGACCTAAGCTTGGAGACAAGGTCCTGGGCTCTGGATACTAAACTACTGAGAGTTACTCCAGCCTGACTGAGGATGGTCGATACCTCTATCTGGTACATTAAAAACAAGTCAAAGAAGTTGAAAGACTCCTAAACAGTCAATAAACTGGATAGCTATGGTGTAGTCGTGTTTCCCAACCCTGTTCGTGGAGGCATACTAACAGTACACATTTAACAAATCTTCCTAATTCATAGCACCTGATTCAACTAATCCGTATGTTAGAAGAGACTCCAAGCCCTGAAATAGACGTGTCAGATAAGAGAGACACCCAAAATGTGAACTGTTGTTGTGCCTCCAGTAACACAGGGTTGAGAAACACTGGAGCTGTAAAAGGTGTCCTTACCTGTTGTCCAGTAATCAGACAGATGCTGCCATCTCTTCCATAAGCCACCTGCCTGCATAAGTGATCCAGGATAAGCAGCTCACTCCAGCAGCTTTGCAGTAGTCCCATTTGATCCTCCACCTGCAAGAGATCAGGTACTCTAGTTATGCAGCAGTAGCCAACTGGCGGGCATTGCCTTGTGAAAGAGTTACAAAGGTTAACTCCATCCATGCTGAAAATACAAGCATGTACATTATTCTGGATCCCAGTCCCAAGCATGGGATGCTAGTAGACATTTTTCACCTGCAAGTTTTGCTGGTGGACAGCTGGGCCACGCTGCTCCGCTAGTTAGACCAGCATCTGACCTGCACTAACCATCTTAAACCAGGTTGGAGCAGTGACTAAGATTTTTACCAAGTAGGACAAGTTTCTGAATCAACATATTTGTTGCTTCTGGAACAACATTCCTAACAATGAATCAAACTTTAGGGATGTGGAAAAGGGTCGAGTTCAAGTTAGACTAGAGTTGGGGTTAAAGATGCATACCAATCTTATCATCCAACATTTTTTTTTTTTGAAGGTTATGGTTAGTTTTGGGGGTCTGGGGCAGGGCTTGTTTCTTTGGCCCTGTTTACATCTGGTGTTAAGATGCGTTTTGGTCGATCGGATCACAAGTAGACGAGGCAGACACATTCCCGTTTACACCTGGTGTTTTAATCTGTCTCTTTTGTCCAGTTTCAACCACTTCTGTTCTGATTTCTTCGAGGGGAGGGTCTATGGGTGATCTAATGGACGAAATAAGCTCAGTAAGCTAAGACCCAGTTTACACCTGTATTTAGTGTCGGTTACTTACTTGTGATCCGATCGAAAACGCATCTTAATACCAGGGGTAAAGAGGGCCTTTAAAAAAAAATTTGTTCAAGGAAAAGTGTGTGACCACGTGCAAACTCTTCTACCTTAAGCTCCTTAAACAGTGTGCTGTTTCTTGCCCACTCCACCAGTCCAAACAAAGTCTGGTCAGCCATTTTGCACATGATGCTGAAGGTGTTGAGACGGTCATGTTTTCCTCGGCAGGCTTGTTCTCTTTGGAGGCTTGCTAACACCCGCATGCAGAGCTGCTTCTCATCTGGCTCGGCTTGCAGGAGCTGATTTAGGAAGCAAGAACTAGGGGTTGGGGTTGAGGTGGGCGTCAAGCTCTGTGCTGGAGTTGGGGTAGAACTTGGAGTTGAGGTTGGTGTGAGTATCGCAGTGGGTGTAGGTGCAAGTGTTGAGAGAACTGTTGGAGAGATTGGATCAGGGGGCGTCACAGAAGCAGGACTGTAGATGAGCGGGAGCTCTCTTTTCTCAGGAGGGTATGCGTGGAAGCCTGGATAGCACAGTGTGTGAAAAGGTATGGATGGATCAGACAGAGTCCGGTCTCTGGGCATGGTGCAGTCCAACAGCATGGGGAACTCGGACTGGCTCATACTGGGGTGAAAGGACTGAGGTGGGTGGTAATGATCAGAGCCGAGAGAAGCAGGGGAGGGGTTGAGGACATGAAAATCATGAGACACAGCTGGTACCAATGCTTGTGGTCCCTCAATTTTGATCTTGTAGGGGGAAATGTATGTCTGGTGATGGCTCCCTCTTTGCTGTTTCAGTTGCCTGTCCCGTCGGTATAGAGGTCCAAACTTGTTTCGCCCACCTCTCATTCTGTCCCCACGTACAGCTGAGACAAGTGATTTCATAAATAAATAAATTGCACATCATGATTTTCACAGCTACTCCTAAATTCTCAGAGTAGTAGCTGTGTCTCATTACGAAGGCTGTGCCCTCCAGAGGTCGCATTTGTCGACTGTGTACGTCATCGAGGATGTCTAATTTTTATTTCTTGTGAGGTCTTACTTTAGGATGTTGGTTACTTTTCTCAAATGATGTGTCTAGGGACAAATGCGACCTCTG